GTAGGGGGGCTGAGCCACGGACTCGTTCCAGTACTTGTCCTTGGTGGCTGGTGGCAGGTTCTGGTACATGTCATCCACCGACAGCAGGGACACCTAGATGTGGCAGGGACAGAGGACGGCTCCCATTGGCACCTTGCTGGGTGTCCCCATGCCCACCCAACCCGATGACAGCCCAGGGCAGGACCCACCTGCAGGTTTCTGTCTATCAATTTATTGGTCTCAAAGTCATCGTCATCTTCCCCAAAAGGGTTAATGATCTGCTCTGCAACCTGGGGAGGGAGGGAGGGAACAGGTGACACAAGGACACAGGGACAATTACGGAGACACCTTCCCACAGGACTCTCCATCCTTCAGTCCACATAGAAACATAGAACATAATCATAGAATCATTCAGGTTGCAAAAGACCACTGAGATCATCCAGTCCAACCACTGACCCATCGCCCCATGTCCACCAAACTGTGAATCACGAAACAGGCCGGTGTTCCATGTCCCATCTACCCAGTGCCCTGCTGTGACATGCGCTATGCCAGGAATCCCTTAAGGCACATCCCAGCCATGTGGTCACATCTCACCTTCAGCCAGCCAGCGTAGAAGAAGAACTGGAGGAGGGTAGAGAGGGGGACGTACATATCCAGGTCCCCTTCCTGCCCTGGCTCCAGCGGCTCCAGGAACTGCCTCCCAATGAGGCAGAAGGCAAAGAAGGAGTACACAGCAATGGTAACCACCTGCGTGGGGAACATGGGGACAGAAGGTGACAGTGCAGGGAGGCAATCCCACATTGCTGCTGGGCTGGGGTCACTCACCTGTGTGTACACCAGTGGGATGCTGATCCAGTCGTAGTGGAACAGCATGCTGCACTTGGCCCGGAACAGGTTCAGCTCCTAGCAGGGAGGCACGGGTGGGTTTTTGCCTATCCCCCATACTTCTCAGCCCCTTGCACACCTGATGCCGACTCACATCCATCAGCAGACGCAGGGCAACGTCATCACGGATGCGGCCATCGCGCCGTGCCTGGGCTGCCAGGTTGGTGAACCAGACGCAGGGGATCCAGTACTTGTTGAAGTCCGAGTACAGGCTCTCAAACTGCTTGCGCTCATCCTGTGTCATGAAGCCTGCAGCAAGGCAGAGGATCAGCACCATGGATCCCAAGATGAAGGGAAAGGGACCTTTGGGGGGACATGATTTTGGGGACGGTCCCAACGGGAATCTGGTTCTGTATGGAACCTACAGCCATGGGGGACGTTGGTGAGCAGAGAAGACATAGGTGTCTTTGGGGATGAATGCCTATGTAGGGAAATAAGCTCTCCACACCATGGTTGGGTACAGCATCCAAGGAGCTGGAGATGCGTATTAGCGGGGCATCCCTACTGCAAACTCCCCCAGAGTAACACCTCTAAGGGCCCCACCTCTCCCACCCCATCATCCTGGGGTCTGTCACCCCTCACCAGCTTCCACCACATGGTCCATGGTGGGGAAGCGTTTGAGCACCCTGGTGCTGACGGAGCGTAGGATGAGGACGGCCGACAGGTTGGCGTAGCGCACCAGGGTGCGCCGCAGGATCCGACCCCGCTCGTCCTTGCCGTGGACGTTGCTGGAGATGACACACATGAGCTGGTCAGGCAGTGGGATGCTGGTGTACTGTGCCCACCACCGATTCACAATCAGGGTGACATAAAAACCTGCAGAGAGACGTTCCATTGGGAGCTCTGAGTGGTTGGGTCCGGTGAAGACGAACCAGTTCCCGTTGAATTTCTATGGTTACTGTTCCCAGGGATGGAGATGGGGATATCCCTGACTCTTTCAGGTTGGATATCAGGAAAAATTTCTTCTCCAAAAGAGTGGTCAGGCACAGGCACAGACTGAGCAGGGAGGTGGTGGTGTCACCATCCCTGGAGGTGTTCAAGAACCGAGGGGATGTGGCACTGAGGGGCATGGTCAGTGCGCATGGTGGGGTGGGTTGGGGTTGGTGGATGATCATCCCATTGGTATCTCCAAGGACAAGAGTGGCTCCAGGAGCTGAGAGTCACTCCCAGGACTCCTCCAGCCCCCAGCAAGGATGGGCAGGGGGGGCAGCCCCACAGCTGGGAAACAGGAGAGGGACCCATACCTAGGACAAAGGACATGGGGATGAGGTCCGTGGAGCGGTTGCAGTACTCAGCCACCTTGGTGTAGAGACGCTTCTGTTCCTCGGTCAGCAGCCGCCTGCAGCAGGCATGAAGCAGGGTCAGGGGCGAGCAGGGGGAACCCCAAAAAAAGCCATTGTCTGTGTCTTCTTCTCCTTGTGGAATCCCACCCCAACCCTCCTGGGGGAGTCTCTTGAGGACCAGTGGACCATGATTGATGGACCCCTACACATCCCCACCCCCAGAGGAGGCCCCTCACATATGACATTGAAGGCATAGGGAGCAATGCAACCCACTCACCGGTAGATGATGCTGAGCAGTGCATACAGCACCACAAAGACGATGAACTCCTTGTAGAGCAGCTTGTAGATGCTGCCCTTCCAACGGAAAAGCAGCTTGGAGAAGCCCCAAAAACGGGAGTTGGCGACCTTCAGTGTGTAGGAGACTGTCATGGCAGCACAGCCCCACTCCTTGGGGCAGGAGCACCCTTATCTCACTGCCTGGGGAGGAGCAGGGTCCCTGCTGCTGGCCAGGACATGCACTCACCCCCACACCAAGCACTGGTGCCCATCAGCCAGATCGCTCTGCAACCTCTGCCCGTCCCTACTCATGTCCGTGACTTCCCCTAAATACCCCAGTGTGGACCCATCAGCCCCATGGTGATGGATTGGGGCTGTCACAGCCAAGGAACAGGGAACTGAGGCTCAGCCACACCTCGCTGTGACCGGAGATGTCGATGGGAGCTGTTGGTGCCAGTGCTGGGAAGCACGGTGCTGGGAAGCACAGTGCCCAGTGGGGTGCTTTGGGAAGTTCCCCTTAAGAGGGGAAAGGACAGCTGGAGGCGGAGAGGTGGAAGGGCAAATCTCAGTGGGACAAAAACCACTGGGAACCATATGCAGGGAGCAACAGGACGTGCAGTGAGATCACCCCATCCTCATCCTCATTCCCTATCTGTCTGCACTGGTACTGGTGCTCCCAGCCCAGCACCTTCAGGGTCGGCAGCTCCGTCGCATTGTGAGCTGTGCTGGGCAGGAAACGCCGCTTCCTTTACAGCCGTAACGCCGTGTCCCGCCCTGCCCGGCTCCCTTCCTGCCCGGCACAGCGCCCAGCCCAGCCTGCATCGGCTCCAACCATGGAGACTTCCAATGCAAGAAATGCCCCTCATACATCCCCCTGCTGTCCCTTGACTTTCTCATGATGCTGAGGCACAGGTACAGGACACGGGGCTGCAGCAGGGCTGGGACAACCGTGGGTGGAGATAATGGAGATAATTTACAGCCCCCCACCAACCCTTCCTGACCCGAACACTGTGCCCACAGCCTCTACCAGTAGGCCATAAATCACAGGCTCAGTCACACAGGTCGGCACCCGCTGCCCCAGATCAAGAGACAGGGTGCAGCCACACTGCCAGGAGTACAATGATTTATTTTGCATTGGGCAGGGAAGGCTGCACCCCATGAGCACTTTGCTATCGTGGCCCCAGTGGAGCCCACCTTTGCCCAGTGCTCACACATGCGTGTGTGCATGTGTACAATGCAGTGGGCACGGCAGGGTGTGCTGGTGGAGCAGGCAGGGCTGTTCCAGGCTGCCCATGTGGGACCCTGTAAGCAGATCTCATTTCTTGTCCCTGGGTCCCATTATGTGTAGGCTGGGAAGCAGCAGAGCTGTGCTGGATGCAGCTGGAGGCAGAGAGGACATAGAACCTGCTCAGAGGGTCTGGTGCACACAGTGCTGTTGTACAGATGGGACAGCCCCACCTCCTCTCCTTGCCTTGTGTCCAAGTATACCATCAGCCCACAGAAAACCCCCTGTGCCCTGCCCAGTGCAAGCATGGGGCACATGTAGGGGAATGCAGCAGGAGGGGTGGCAATTTGGGGGTGCAGCTCTGCAAACAGCCAGTGCAAGAAATGGCAGACTGGTCTGCGTATCCCCACAGCCACCAGTATGTTCCAGCCAGATCCCAAATCCCAGCCCAGCTACCCATCAGTGTAGCTCAATGTTCTCATACTCCAGGTTGTCCGAGTCCTCCAGCTCGATGCCAGGCACCAGGTTGTAATAGTTGGTCGACTGGTTCATGTAGATCTTCTCGCGGTCAGCGGAGTCCTTCAGCACGTCGGTGACACTCACTGTGTCCCCCTCCATCTCAGGGCTGTCCTGCTGCTCATCGAAGGTTGGAACATGGGATCCCACCTGGATCTCCACCTCCTCATAGAGGTCCCTGCTGCTCTCCTCAGGGGGCTGCAGCAGCACCCGGCTGCCCCGCAGCACCTTCCCCTCGCTGTTGGAGGGGGCACTGGTTGGCTCATAGGGGACGTAGCGGTGCGGCTCGGGGCACACGGGCACGTTGCCCCTTTCTGTTGGGGAGGTGTGGCTGCTCCCAAGGCTGTAATTGGTTTTCCTTTTCCTCCTGCAGAAGCAGCAGGTGATGGCTGCGAGGATGAGGAGGGGAGACAGGCAGATGAAGAGGGCGGTGAGGCTTTGGTGCTGCTGGCACAGCTCGTCCCGTGGGATGCTCTGCAGCTCTGCACCACGGTGTCTCTCTGGTGTATGACAGGTGAGCTGGGCGGGCAGGCTGGGGGTGCCCTGCAGGGCATCCAGCAAAGCACAGCTGCACTCCCAGCTGTTATTGGAGAGCTGCAGCTGCAGCAGGGATGGATGCAGAAGGGTGGGAGGGAGGGAGGTCAGTGCGTTGAACCCCAGGTGGAGTTCCTGGAGCTGGGTGGAGGCTTTCAGGAAGGATGCGGGCAGCTCCTGGAGCTGGTTCCCATCCAGATAGAGGACCTTCAAATTAGGGGCATCTTCCAGAAAGCCTCTGGGGAGGCTCTCCAACTGGTTGTGACTTAAGTGCAAGACCTCCAAGGCCGGGGGGACTCCCTGGGCGTTGCTGATGGCTGTGATGCTGCAGTGTGAGAGGTAGAGCTGGCGCAGCCCTCGCACTGCTACCAGCGCTCCCCAGTCCAGGTGGGTGACATTGGATCCAGTGAAGTTGAGGCAGCAGCTCTCGGCGAGCGGAGCTGTGCGGAACGCCTGGAAGTCCAGGGGATGGGTGCAGTTGCAGCTCTGCGGTGCCGGCTCTAGGGCGAGGCTGGCAGCGAGCAGGAGGCCGCCCCATAACAGGGGCACGGTGCCTGTGGGAGGGCACAGCAGATGGGCACCCCATTGCGGGATCAGCACGGGGAGCGGTCCCTCCGCCCGTAACCGCGTTCTGTCCCCGCACCCCCGTCCCTGCCCCGTCGCGCTGCTCCCTCCCGGTTCTCGGTCCCCCCGCCCCGCAGCCGCCGCCCTCACCTGCCGCCGCCCGCCCCATGCTCCCGGGGCCGCTCCGCGCTCCCCGCCGCCGCACCGCCGCCGCCCGGCTCCGCCTCGCCGCGGGGTGGCCCCGCCGGAACCCGACCGCCCCCGGGCCCGGCCCAGCGGTGCTCGGCCTTCGGTTCCTCTGCTCCGTCCCCTCTCCCCGGGCTCCTAACACTGCGAGCCCTCCGGTAGCGCCGTGCCGCCCCCCCGCCCCTTACATCCCATCCACTCTCCCGCCCACCCCAAAAATCCCATACTCAAACACTCCTCCCCATCCGTTCCCCCTGCAGAACCCTTTCCAACTTCGCCCCATCCCCACAGGCTGTGTGCTCCATCAGCGCCTTCTGTACCCTCAGTTCCTGCGGGACTCTGGCTCTGCCTAATCCCTTTCTCCCAGGGAGGGGGACAGGACCCGTCCCGTCCGGTGCCACCTGTGTGTGGGGTGCAGCCCCCAGTCCTGCCGTGGGTGGACATGTTCATGGGATAGGGACCAAAGGGACAACCTTTCAGGTCCTTACAATTTTCTTCCACCCCTCACAGCTCCCCGGATGGGAAGGAGGTGCCAGACTTGGACACAGCAGCACAACCCACAGGAAAAGCAGTGCTGGAGAGGGAATTCCATACCCCAAAATGTGTGTGTGCTCAGAGCCCCAAGGAGCTGGGGAAACTGAGGCACATGGCAAAAACCGCTGAAGCCTGGGGGCAAGGAGGGTTCTGCTCCCCTTCCCAGTTTGGGCCACATTTGCACAGCCAAATCCAAGTGCTTCCTTAATTCAATGGGATCTAGGTCCTTTTACATCTCCTTGCAGGAAGGATTTGCAGCTCGCCCTCTGCACACCCCCAGCAGCTCACCCTGCTTCCTTCCCCCGCTCAATCACCTCCTCTTCCTCCTCAGCAGCTGCAGCCCCATCATCTGTTCGGTGAGAGGGACAAGGGAGGAGGAAGACCCTACCCCTGAGAAGGTCACAAACCCTGGGCAGGCCCCCTCTTTCAGGGTCCTTCTTACACCCAGGTGCACTGTGCATCAGCTACACATTTTTGCTTCCCAGTTCCTGCTGCCACTGAGCATATTCTTGAGGGGGGTGGAGGGAGGGGAACCTTTCTAAAGAGGTTCTGTTCTCCCCATATCTCCAACCAAAAAGCTGCAGGCAGGCGAGAGGTGGCCTCAGAGCTCCCCTTCTCCAGACTGCTGCCATTACACCATGCTCTCTTCCTACTGGCATGGCAAAACACCCATCTGTGGTGCTCTCCTGCCCTCATGCACCATGCAGGGCTGAGCTGCAAGTGGAAGAGGAGCAGATCCTGAGCTCCTTCCATCCTACGGTGGGGGTGTGGAGGGATATGGGGGAACGCGGGTACCCTCTCAAGTCCCTGAGCCCACCTGGAGTTGTTGCTCTCAGCAGGAGACCACGCAGTCAATCTCTGCAGGGCCTTGGGGCCTCCCTGCATCCCCAGGTGCCCCCGCCCCCGCGTTGCCACCAAAAGCTCTGCCTGGGGAGCCCCGTGTTGGGGCTTCCGTCAGAAAACCAGAGGTGCCCTGTGACGCCACTGCACACAGAGAGCCCTGGGGGCCCGGGTGGAAACCATCTGTTTCCCCAAAGGGAGAACCTGTGTTTGCTGCCAGGCAGAGCGTGGGCATGTGTTTCCTCTGCAAACCTGAGAAAAAAGCAAGCAGATTCAGATCACTTCAACTCTCCCCCCAAAATGGGTTTGTTCGGTCTGCCTGCAGCACCCTGGATGCAGGGCGCTGGTTGTACAGAATCGATCGTGTCAAATCTTCAGCATGCTTGGGAGCACAACAAGCATCAGTGAGTGGAGCCTGGAGCTGCCTCAAAGAAGCAGAGGGGAAACTGAGGCACAGAACGAGGGACATGCACACAGTCCCCCAGAGCAGGGAGAGGGAGCGGGATCTGCTTTACAGGGGCTTTTGCAACACTGCTGACCTAGGATGGAGGGTACACAGGTTTCTGGCCACTCCTGCTGCCCCACATTCCTCCTTGGCCTATTCTGGATTACACAGGGATGTGTCCTCCTTAGGGTCATTACAGAATAACACCTTGGTGACGCACTGCCTTGGCAGTCACCAGTGTGCATGGGGTCAGCACTGCCAAACTCAGACCCATGGTGCTGGGGGATCAGCTGGGGGATTGGTGTCCCCAATCCTGAACTGGACACTGTGTGCAGTCACAGTGGACAGCATGAAGGCCCCTGGGGCACAGGGCTGTGCACAGACCAGGGCAAAGCATACCAGAAGGCTGTCTGCCCAAAGGACAGCCTGGCTGCACAGCTCACCTCTTCCTTCCACTGTCCCATGTTTCCAGCACCCTACCTTGGGTGGGCTGACCCACCACATTCAGTGTGAGGGGGCTCTGGGACCCACGTCCAAGAAGTCAAGACCCGTTGCCGACTTACGGCTCTGTAATCCCACTCAGATGCACATGCGGCTCCGCGAGCCCCGCAACAGCCACGCACCGCCCACCTTGTTGCGTGCCGCTGCCCCTTTAAGAGCACGTCGGGGGCGTGGCCGAGACCGGGCGAAGTGGGCGTGACCGTGCGGGTGACGTCATCGCGCCCATTGATAAAGCCGGGCGGGATCCCCGGCGCGGCAACGACAGCGCGCGGTGGCGGCGGGGCCACGTGTACGGGGCGCGGCGGTGGCGGAGGAGCAGCCATGGAGCACGCCGGCCTCTTCCCCCCGCTCCTCGCCACCTGCCTCCCCGCACAGCCCGCTCCCACCCCGGCACCGCCGTCGGCCCGGCCGGCCGAGCCCACCCGCATCATCACAGACCCGCTCTCCGGCCGCTCCTACTGCAAGGGCCGCCTGCTGGGAAAGGTACCGATCGGGGAGGAGGGTGTCGTGGGGGGGATGTGCCGTGATTCGATGCGGCCGGAAGCCGCCGCCCGGTTCGGAGGGAGAGGGTTGAGCGGGGCCCCTTCGTTTCAGGAACGGCTCTGGGAACGGTGGATCGACCGGGCCGGCCCGGCCCCCGCCTGTCTATCGCAGCGCACATCGGTTTCGGGTCGCCCCGCGGGGCCGTGCGTGGGCCGCCAGTTCCCACCCCGCTTCCCAGGGCCGCTGCGTCTCACGCAACTTTTCCTCCCGCTGCGAGCCGTGTGTGGGAGGCGGCTGCCTGCTCCCGGCCCGGCAGCTGAGTGTGCAGATTCGGGGCTGACATCACGGCAGGAAAAACCTGTCTCCGGCGTGCCGCTCTCGGTAGCCTCCGCTCCTCTCTGCCCTGCGTAGGGCTTTCCGGGTGAGCCGTCATCGGGAAAGATTCCGGAGTTTAGTGATGGTGGGAGCGCAAACGCTGTGGAGATTTTACAGGAACTGAGTTGAGAAAATCCCTATTTGAGAGCATCACGGTTCAGATCTTAGTGGGTGAGCTGGCAGTGAGGAGGAGGAAGGCTGCCTCTCACCCATCCTTGTGTGCCTTTCCTCTTGTAGGGCGGCTTTGCACGATGCTATGAGATGACGGACCTCTCCAGCAACAAAACCTATGCCGTGAAGGTCATCCCTCACAGCCGGGTGGCTAAACCCCACCAACGGGAAAAGGTGTGTGTTGGTGCCAGTGGGGAGCTGGGGTTGTGTTGGGGTTGCCTTGCATTGCTCACATCTGCTGCTCCCTTCCAGATCACCAATGAGATTGAGCTGCACCGTGACCTGCACCACAAGCACATTGTCAAGTTCTCCCACTATTTTGAGGATGCGGAGAGCATCTACATCTTCTTGGAGCACTGCAGTCGGAAGGTGAGGGCTGTGGCAGCCCCCATGTTCTGGGTCCTGAGGTGCCATGTTAGTGCTCTGCTTCTTTAACATTCCATCACCCACCTGAGCCAACCCCACCCGGTTGCACTGCGTGTTTCTCTATCACACTGAGAGCCCCAGTGTGGTCTCCATAAATCCAGGAGTTCCCCTGGTGGTGCTGAGCAGCCTCAACCTTACAAAGAGCTCAGTGATCCTAATACAGTGACTCTGCAATTCCTGAAAGAGCTGCCCCTACCTGTTCCTTGTTCCCCTCCCCCCCCAACACCATGCTGACTTCTTTTCCCTCTGCAGTCACTGGCCCACATCTGGAAGGCCCGCCACACTCTGCTGGAGCCTGAAGTACGCTATTACCTCAAACAAATCATCTCAGGCCTCAAATATCTCCACCTCAAGGGCATCCTGCACCGGGACCTCAAGTTGGGTGAGTGGCACGGCTGGGATGGAATAGTTCAGGGCTGCCCTGAAGGGGCCAGCAGCAATATATTGCCCTTTGTCTCACAGGCAACTTCTTCATCAATGAGAACATGGAGCTGAAAGTGGGGGACTTTGGTCTGGCTGCGTACCAGGATGCCTCTGATCAAAAGAAGAAGTAAGTCTGGGGCTTCTGTCATCTTCCTATGGCTCCCTGGGCTATGGGGTTGGGGCAGCCTCAGGGCCCCAGCTGCAGACAAGGAGAGGGGGCTGGGGGCTTTGTGGCTTCTCCAGAGCGTGCCTGCAGCCTGCAGGGAGAACAATGCGCTCGCTATGGCCATTGTGCTGGCCGGGTGCACAGGCTGGGACACAAAGGCCCTGTTCCGTGCTGTGTCTAGGACAAGTTATTCCCCGCAGCTTGCTCGGAGCAGCTGCTGCTGAGCCCTGGGAGCTGGGGGGAGCTCAGAGTCGGGGGTGGGGGTTGGAAACAAGCTGCCAGCTGGGTCTCCCACTCAAGGAAGTGGGAAGATAAGAGCGTGCTCTTGACCCGGTGTCTGCCCACAGGACAATATGTGGAACCCCCAACTACCTGGCCCCTGAGGTGCTGTTGCGGCAGGGGCACGGCCCCGAGTCGGATGTGTGGTCGCTGGGCTGTGTCATGTAAGTGCATGGGGAAGGGGCAGGCAGGGCTCTGGGGTGCCCCAAGGAGGAGGTCCCATGGCATTTTTGCCTCTTGGCAAAAGCGAAGAGGGAGGAGAGGGCAGTGCTTGGGGGCTGAGAGCTGCAGGCAGCAGGCTGTGCTGAGCTCTGCTGCAGGGTGTTCACACTCTGAGTGTCGTAAACAACGGAAAGTATTGGTGGTTGGTGGCAGCTGCTGGCTTGTTTGTATGGGGAACGATCACCTCAGCGACTCGAGCCCTTCTCAGCCCGCAGGCTTCCTGCACAACTTCCCTCAGCGGGGCAGGGCAGCAGAGCTGTCCCCAGCCCCCACGTTCCTCGCTTGTTGCCCCCAAACAGTCGCTAGGAGAGAGCATGGCTGGATGTGCCCAGGCTGGAAGTGGTGTTTCCAGCCAGGTGTGGCAACTGAACGCCAATAATTTCCTTGCTCCGAGTGCTGCTGAGTCACAAACCCAGAGGGAGAATGACAGTGGCACGTGTGTCCCCTCCCAGGTACACCTTGCTGTGTGGGAACCCTCCCTTTGAGACCCTGGACCTGAAGGAGACCTATAGGTACATCAAGCAAGTGGACTACATCCTGCCCACCTTCCTCTCACTGCCTGCCAGGCACCTCATTGCTGGCATCCTCAAGCGCAACCCCCAGGACCGCCTCACGCTCGATGAGATTTTGGACCATGAGTTCTTCAAGGTGAGTGTGAAGGATTCCAGCTGTGACCCTGGGATGAGGCTTTGGGGCTGGGCTGCTGCTGGCATGGAGTTTGGGGTGATGTCCTTGATTGCCTTTTAAGAAAGAAAGCAACTGCTGTGCTGTGCAAATGCCAGCGGAGGATTCAAGGGATCTGCTGTGCTCCCTGCTGCCCTATCCCACAGGATATCCCATAGAGCTGATACCCAATGCCAGGCCCAGAGCCAAGGCTGGTCGGAAATGCAAGCTGCTGTCAGGAGGGCTGCGGTCAGCCCGGGGCAGTTGCTTCATGTGGGTTATGGAAATTAACCATCTGCTATGACCTCTCTGCAGGGTTACACACCCGAGAAGCTCCCTCCCAGCAGCTGTGTGATGGCTCCAGAGCTGTGTGCCCCCAACCCAGCCAAGAGTCTGTTTGCTAAAGTCACCAAGACGCTCTTTAGGAAGAAGAAACCTAAGGGTGAGTGTATACAAAAGCCTCCAGATGACCCTTTTACCCATGGAGATATGTCCTGTTCTCTAGAGAGGCTTGGGATGGGTCTCTGTCCCCCTGTCTGGGGTCAGCACCTGCTGGCTTGTCCCTGCCCTTCTGGTGCTGGTGGCCTGCTGGGGTGTGCACCCAGTGGGCTGATAATGTGCTGCAACCCATGGGGCAGTTCCTCCTGGGCAGCCTGTGCCCCATGAGAATGGGGAAGTGAAAGTGGGAGACAGCAGCCTGACACCATCCTCACTCCATGGGCTGTACTATGGGGAGGGGTGGCCTAGATGTCCCTATTCCTTGTTCCACTCATGGTGTGCTCTCTCCTCAGCCAAGAAGGGCTCTCTGGAAGACAAGGATGATATCTCCAAGCTGGTCACTGGGCTGGTGAAGACATCCATCTGCCGGCAGATGAGCTGCAAGGCAGTGGAGGGGAATGAGGTGAGAGCAGCCCTGGGTTCTTTCACACTCCTGGAGGGGTCAGCAGCATGGTGCTAATATTGGGTTTTCCCCAGGCCACCCCTGTGTCCTGCCGTAGTGTTGGCTCCAGCCCTGTGGAGACACTGGTGGAAGAGACATCCCACAAGTCCACATCCCCCTCTGTCCGTGGGACCATGGCCAGCAGTTGTGAGGGTGAGCAGCTCCTCCCTGTCCCAGCATGGGCTTCCTGCCCTGCCCTGACTGATAGCGGGGCCAGCTGACTCACAGCCTGTCATCTTCCATTCTGTAGCCTTTGAAGACTGCATCACCACCTCTGCCATCATCGAGTCTGCTGTGCAGCTCCTGCGCACCTGCCTCTCCTGCATGCCTCCAGGTAAACCTGCTGAGCTGGTGGGATGCAGGCATGGGTGCTGCTTCGGGTGCCTGACCCTAAGGCAAGGAGCTGGGGAGGGGGGAGGGGTTGCCTGCTCTGCTCACTCTGTTCTTCTCTACCAGCGGAGAGAAACCCGGCTTCCCTGGCCCGACATGAACAGTTTGTCTGGGTGAGCAAGTGGGTGGACTACTCCAACAAGTATGGCTTTGGCTACCAGCTCTCCAACCACAGCATTGGGGTCCTCTTCAACAACGGCACGCACATGATGCTGTCCCCCAACCACAAGTAAGCAGTGCCCTTGTGAGGGTAGGAGGGAATGGGAGAAAGCTGAGCCTAGGGTGGTTTGGTGCCCAGTGGCCCTGATGTTCTGCTCTCCACCAGGACAGTGCATTACAACCCAACCAACAGCAAGCACTTTGCATTCCCTGTGTCTGCTGTCCCTGAGCAGCTGCGTGGACAGATGAGTGTCTTGCGCTATTTTGCATCCTATATGGAGCAGCATCTCATGAAGGTGAGTGCTGAGATGCTGGGTTGGACACTGGGACATGACTGTGCCATGTGAGTATGGCCAGGCAGGCCCCCACGGGGCTGTGTCCTGCTAGCAGAGACCCCAGAGGGTGTTTGCTGTGATGTGGCCATGTGCACCGTGGTGACAGTGTGGGACCAATGGCTTATGTAGATGTTTCTCTCTAAGGGAGGTGACTTGCCTAGTATAGATGACCTTGGACAGCCGGCCCTGCTCCTCCTGCAGTGGGTGAAGACTGACCAGGCCTTGCTCATGCTTTTTAGCAATGGCACCCTACAGGTATGTGCAGTGGGGATGCCCCAACCCTTATGGGGAAGAAGCCAGCCCGGAACTCCTATGCTGGGTTAAATCTTGACTCCTACAGCCTGAATACATAGATCCATCTGGGTGTGAGATGCTGCTCTGGTGTCACAGCCCATCCAGTCCCCTGGGAGGCATGACACTTTGGTCAGGTGCCCCAGTGCATTCCTGATGTGGGACTGCTCCTGGGCAGGTTGGGGAGGAGGAGCAGGTTGAGGCAGGAAGTGTGGTGGGAGCAGGCATGGAGCTGTGCTGCAGGAGGTATGAGCTAAAACTGAGCCCCACCTGTCTCCCAGGTGAACTTCTACAATGACCACACCAAGGTGATCATCAGCAAGCCCGACCATTCATGCCTTGTCACCTACATCAACCGGGAGCGTAACTCCTACACCTACAAGCTGTGCAGCATCCAAGAGCTGGGCTGTTCATCTGAGCTCCAGCACTGCCTCCGATACATCCTCAAGCTCCTCCAGGAGTGGGCTGATGCCTAGCATGGGGCTTTGGAGACCTTCTCAGGACGTAGATGGTCTCCTCTTGCCCTCCCATGGGATGGGAGGTGTTGTGGTGCTCAGCTGGACTTTGATTTAAGACGTGAATGTGGCCCTGGCAGCGGGTCTGGACATCCATGCTGCTCCCTGGCTGTAGGCAATCACTGTCTTTCTCTCTGCGTGGCTGTGAGCTCAAGGCTTGGTGCTGCAGGGTAGAGCAGATGCCCTCCAAGGGACCGACGGCTGTAGGGTGATGCCTGCCCTGCCAGGGCTGCATGGATTGACTTGTGCCATTCCACAACCCCTACACTAGGGAGGGGGGCTGAGCTGGGCTCCGGCTGCCCCCCAGTTTTGAATTGTCTGGTACAACTTGAGGTTTGGTAGAGGGCAGGGGGAAGGGATCTGTGGGCTTGCCTCGAGAAACCCTTGTATGGCTGTAAGCTAAGGGCAGATTTCCTGTTTCAAGGCAGTCTCTGCCAGGTGGGATTATTTATGCATCTTATTTATATGGAATTTATTTATTTTCTTCTTGGTCTGTCCATGTGCAGCTCCCCTGTCCCTGACTTACCTCATTAAAACCTTATTTGTGTAAAGGCAATCTGTTCTCATATTGTTTGGTGTTGGGTTTTAGGTCATAAAATGTTTGTGGCTTCTCAAGGCTGTGGAGCAGGGCATCCAGGCCTGCTGCCTAGTGCTGTCAAGGTGAGGGAAATGGAGATGTGGGGGAAGGAGAAGGGGCAGGCAAGGTGATGAGATCTGGTAGAGTGTCTGGATGCTGAGGTAGAAACTGGAAGAAAGACTGCCTCTTGCTGATATGTGATCCCCCCAGTGTATCAGTTCTGGGGAAAGCAGGGGGAGTGACTCCCAGCTGAGGGCTGTGGGATGTTCTGCACTGCCTGATGCAATGGGATGTGAACTGGGAGTGAAGCCAGGAAAGAGGAGGGACTTAATCCTGCTCTGCAGCCTTGCTTTGAACGTGATCTGTCACCTCCTGCCCTGCTGCTACCTCTTCCTGGGAGCAGCCTGCAGTGTGGGAAAGGTTATGGGCTGCTCCGTGTCCTCCCTGTCCAGCCCTGGGCTGCAGCCTGCACTGACCTCTGGGGGAAAAGGAAGCAGAGTCCGAATTTGGAATTGTTTACTGTAGTTTGGGTTGTCTTGAAAACTATGGTGGTGAAGGCCACCAAACCCTGGGGCATCTCTGCCTGTGCCATCATTGGATCTATGCAATAAAAGTCAGGCGTGATGCAAAGTTATTTATTTGCACTAGTCGTGTAGGGCTGCAGGTTGAGCACAGGTCAGGGCAGGTGACCTTTACTCAAAGTAAACCCCATGCACTATAGCAACAGCGAAGAGTGAGGCATTGCAGAAAGAAGCAGAGGCAAAGCTATCGCTTTCAGGGTCCCAAAGTGCCTGGCTGGCCACCAGCATGCTCTGCTGGCTGTGCTGGCCCAGCAGCACCTGGCACACCAGCTTGTAGCGGGGTGGCACCACCTCCTTTGCCCGGCCCCGCAGCAGCTCAGCCAGGCTCTGCACCAGCACCGTGCTGCCCTGGGGGCTGTAGGCTGTGCCCCCCAGCACCCTGGCTAGGACTCCCTCCAGCACCCGCTGCACCCGCCCTGCGTTGAACCTGCAGCCTTCCTTCGGCCCCATCCTGTATGTGTTTTCCAGGTGGGTTTCTGGAATGGGTTGGAAAAGTGGGAGCCCTGAGAAACTCACACGGCTGTGGAGGAGCCAGGGCCCCATGGAGGACCTCTTTCCCCCTGGGGCTGCCCCCAGAGAGCTGCGGCGGCTGCCTGGGGGGCCTGGCAGGGTGCTGAGCATGGAGCTGCGGCGGGAGAGCAGCGGTGGGGCTTTGCCTTCCTCTGGGCCCCGGGTTGGGGCTGGGGGGTGGGAGCCACGGTGGATGGCTTGGGGATGAGGGGCTTCAGTGCCGTCTACAGCCATCACCCGCGTGGATGCTGCCAGTTCTAGGGATGGCTGCTCAGCCATACAGGTGGTCTGGAGTGGAGAAGAATCTCTGAGACCCTTGCCCTGGGCAAGAAGCCCCTTCTCCAACCCCCCTTCTCCTCCCCCTCCCTCCCCCCCCCCCCCCCCCCCAAATCCTCTACTCCCATTTGCCCCTCAGCTGCCCAGAACCCACCTCTCCCCTGGGTTGCAGCTTGTTGAGCTCCTGGAGCAAGAAGGGTTGCTACGTGACGCTGAAACTCCCCGTGGCACCGTAACTCTTTGTTTCCTGCTGCCTGCGCTGCCCTATTGTCCCATTTCCCCCACAGCTTGCTGCCAGCTGCAGCCTGGACTGCAGCCAGACTAGGGACACAGTGCCCTGTGATATAGGCTTCTCCTTCTGGACACCCCAAAAAACACCTCGTGAGCATCCACTGCAATGGATGGAGAAAAGCTGTGTGAACTCTGCTGGATGCGGCACCAAGGTTTGATGTTTTTGCCCCAGATATCATCCCTGAGTGCCACTTCTCCCAGGACTCCCAGGCCTGGGCACCCATTGAGCACAACAGTGGGGCAGCTGAGCCCCATGTTGTGCTGGGGATCCCTCTGCATCCGTGCCCCAAGTCGGAACAGCTCTGCCTGGAACCCAAGTGGAGTTTTCTCCCTGCACGGTGCCCAGCCCTGCTGGTACGCCCCGGCTGCCCCATCAATGCGCCTTTGTCTGCCCCGACTGCAGATCTATTTAGGGAAAGTGGAGACGGCCTTTGTGTATCTATCTGCTGCTGAAGGTATTTATAGCTCACTGCAGGCTCGTGCTGCCAAGCACGCCGGCAGCTGCACTCTGCTCCTTGGGCTCTGGCTGTCCTTTCCTTCCATCCACCGCTTTCCTACGCAGACCCGAGAGCTGCAGAGCAGCTCAAGGGTGGGCTTCCCCGCTTGCCTCCCCTTTACTCGGCCCCAATGCCTCTCCCAGCCCAGCTGCCCGCCTGCCTGTTTCCCTAGCAATGGGCCGTGACGCTGCGGCCTCCTCCCCAGGCCGGCCTCCTCCCCGCCTTCCTCCTCCGCCGTCCTCCCCATGGCCCGCTCCTGCTCGGCCCGGCTGCATGGCGAGGCGGCCGCGTTCACCGCTGCCCTCCGCTCCCTGGTCAACAACCCCCAGTTCAGGTGAGGGGGAAGGCTGCCTGCCGCCATCTTCCCCTCCAGCATTCCCCTGGGAAGCTCCTGGCGGCCTATGGGATGTGCATGACTTCCGCACGGCTCTTGGGCCGTTCCCCCCTCCTCTATCTGCTCCTGCTCCATCTTGGCTTCAGCCGCGCTTCCTCTCGCTATCTCTGCTGACACCTCATGGCCATGGAGCAGGGGGCAGCCCCACGGGGCCCTGGCCGTGCTCCTGCCAGGACCAGTGCTGGGTGGTCAACGTGTGTGGTCCGCTTTGCCCGTCTCATGCCGAAGCCTGGCAGAAGCATTGGTGTTATCACAAGAAATCCTGTGTTGGCCACCCGGAAGAGAAATCCCAGTGAAAACCCCACAAACTCCAGTGCCAGGGAAGTTGCTGTGGGGGACTGGCCATCCTCAGGTCGCATCCTATACCATGCATCCTCCAGCTTTTGTACTGTGAATTTTGCACTCTGCATCTACCGGCGTTCCTTCTGCATCCTGCAACCCAAAATCTGCACCCTGTGCTTCCTGACCTAGACCCTGACCCTGTGCATCCTGCACCTAGATCTTGCACTCTGTGGCTTGTAATCTCCATCCCACAGCTCACAGCCTACACCCCACATTCCATTTCCTCCTCCTTCCCCTGTAGACTGCAACCACGGAGAAGTTTTATTCAGTCCACTTTGCTGTTGGATTTATGGAGGACTCATATGGTGCTGCTCAGATCTCCAGACCTGGGATGGGCCAGGTGTCCTCACCTGCAGTGGGTCACCATGAGGGACAGGTTTGCTGCCCTACTGGGACTGGAGAAGAGCACAACAGGGGGTGAGGAGATAACAGGACTGTAGCCAGCACAACTGCACAAAGACCGTGGGGCTGGGGGAACCAGGGAGGCAGTGCAACCCTATGCCCTACAATCAACCCACCACCTTGTGCCCTGTCCCAGCCCTCGGGTTGGTGTCCTCCCTGTCCTTCATGATTCCCTTTCCCCAACAGTGATGTGACGTTCGTGGTGGGCCGGGAGAAGCAGCAGGTGTTTGCACATCGCTGTGTGCTGGCGTGCCGCTGCCAGGCGTTCCGGGGGATGCTGACAAGCAACGAGGATCCCCTCAGCAGTGTCCCAGCCCAGGGACCCTTCATCCTGGGCAATGTGCAGCCAGAAGTCTTCCTAGCCGTCATTGAGTTCCTCTACACTAACAGCGTCACCCTCAACAGCCATACTGTGAGTGGGGATGGGGGAATGCACGGGGAAATTAATGGGTGGAAGGGAGCTTTGTTGCTCCAAGGGATGTTTGACCATCTGTGCAGTGAGTATGTGGAGCCTCAGCACAGCACTGTGAGGTGTCAAGTGTACCGTGTTCCCCAGGTGGCTTGGGACAACCATGAGTGTGGGACGGGGATATCAGAGAGGGGGAGCTCTGCTTTTGTTCTATCTTGCAGCAGCTCCTCTCCCATACGTTCATAGCCCAGAACTTTCATAGAGAAAGGGGGATGCATCCCTGTGCTCCCTGAGCTGCTATGACCAGTATGTATGTGTATATATATATATATATGTATATATATATATATATTTTACACGTACATATGTGTTGGTATATCAGGAAAACATTCTGCAACAGAGGGCAATGGGCATAGAACAGGCTCCCCATGGCAGTGGTCAAAGCCCTATGCTGCCAGAGTTCAAGGGGCATCTGGACAGTGCTCTTAGACATAGAATTTGAGTGGTCTGCTGTGGAGCCAGGAATTGGCTTCTGATCCTTGAGGGTCCTTTCCAGCTTGGGATATTCTATGATTTTGTGCTATAGGTGCTAGAGGTGCTGACCTCATCGGTGGAGTACGGCCTGCAGGACCTTTGCAAGGTATGACCCTGCTTAGACTTGGGGTAGTGAGTCCTCTATGCTGCTATGCTGAGGAGCACGCCAGTACAGCCAGAGCTGGGAAAACCCCATGGCAGGACAGAGGATCACGTATCTCCCACCCCATGAAGGGCAATAGGAAAGCCCCAGTGTCTTCGGGTGCCTTCTGGCTGTGTCAGGAGGATGCTGTTGGGAAAGTCCCACTCTGGGGAGCACTGGGAACCCTTTGGGGCTGCTGCGGGCTGGGAGGCCTTGGGGAGGCAGCAGAAAGCAAAGTGGAGCGGTGGGAGCTGATGGGCTCCATTAGGGATGCAGTCAGGCAGATGGACGGGAAGTGGGACAAGGGGAGGGAGCTCTTTGGGCAGCTGGGACACGTCACCAGAGCCATTCCTGGATTACGGCTGGGCCTATCGCGTGACCTGCACCTCACACCCGGACTTCCCCTCCCTCAGCAGTGCAGTGGGGAAGGAGTTTGTTGAGGATGTGAGAGCTGCCAGAGCAGCCCCATGTCTCACAAGGACGTGCTCGGCAAGACCCCAGCCATGGCACCAGGTGGACAGAAGTATGAGGTGTAGAGCTGGGGGTTTGCAATCATCCAGCAAGGGCATCCCCAGAGCAATTCCTTCATCAGTAGATGCGTGTGAAGGTGGGGATCAAGTGACAGCTGGGGAAGCCCCTGGCTCTGTCCCCAGCTGCAGGGTGACTCAGGGCCCTTCTGCTCCAGCAAATGGCTCCTCCCCACAGATCACATCACTTTGGGTTTTCCAGGGCCCTCTGTCCCCACATGGCTTGTGTCCCCATGTGGGAGGCATGTGGGGTGGGCAGGAAGGAATCCATCTGGCTGTGTCCCAGCTGCATTCGGACTGCAGCCACAGATGCTCCTCTCCAAGCAGGGAGAGCTGGGGTCACCCAGTATTCACAGCTGGGGACAGTGTCCTCATGGCAGTACTGGATCACGTCTGGAGTTGGGTCACCTTCCTCAGGATACACAGTTGGCCTGGGTTTGATCATTGCAGGCTCTCACCATAGCTGAATCTCTGCTCACTTGCTCTGCCACAAAACTTCTCCCCTCAACCCATCCAGTACGTTACAGAACCCCACGGGGCTCCTCCACCCCTATCCAATGTCCTGTGTCCAGGGGGCTGAGGGGATGCTGAACATCACGGGGATGGCGGTGGGGTCCCCTGCTCTGGCCACCCACTCTCTCCCGTTCACCTTGCAGCTCTGTGTGGAGTTCATTAAGGACACGCTGAGTGTGGAGCAGGTCTGCGAGGCCCTGCAGGTAAGTGGCACCTGGCTCTGATGTGGCCAGCAGGGATGGTGCTCGGGTCCCCCATGTGGGCAATGGGCCACCTGCAAGGCGAGGATCAGCCTGGGGTGCTGGGGAAAAAACAGTGACAACTTCCCAAGGAGCGTCACAGAGAGTAAAAATAACTCTGCTATTTTGGAGTCTGAGTTGGCTGATGGGGTAGGATTTTCCTCCCCTCCCACTCAGCAACTGTCCTGTCCCCTGAGGACATCACACTGGTGTGGGCCACCACAGCCCCAAGACTGTGCTCCTCTCCACAGGGCCAGATAGAATTCCCCAGGATGGATTTTGGGGTTGTTTCCCAAAACTATGCTGAGATTTGGGCCACTCAGGAGTAGTTGGGAGGCCCCATGACTGCTTGGTGGGACTGCTGCCTCATGCTCCTAGGGCAAGGATGGGAGATGATTTATATACCCCATGCACCCAGGACTGATCCTACAGCCATGACCAAAGTGATGCCCCTGGGTGAGATGCTGGCCCTGGTGCAGAAGCTCCCATCCCACGTGGTACCTGGCCACCATGGTGTAAACAGAGCTAAATTGGGCTCAGAGGAAAGAATCAGAAAACCCCAGAACAAAACAAACCTGAAGTAAACATCTCGCTCTGCCCTACTGGCTTGCATTAGCTCCAGTCCCAGTCAAGGCTGTGGGGGAGGTGACACTGTAAGATCCCTTGTATCCCACATGCACAGGCTGTCTCTGCCTGGGGATGAGGGCATGTTACGATGACCTGAGAAGGGTACAATAATGGGCAGAGTCAGCCTAGGGGTAAGTTTTACTCTGGGAGAGGATAAAAGCCCCCCCAGATTCCTTTTGCAGCAGGGAATGGTGACAACAGGGCAGGCTGCGTGGTGGAGCATGGGGTGCACCTCAAAGGGCCGCGTGCCAACCTTGTGTCTAGGTGAGAAAAGATGACTGTGGGCAACCTCATGTCCACCCAGAGCCTGGTGATGTCCCTGAGTGGCTGTGAGAGCTTGGATGTTTCTGCTTGTAACTGGGGCTGACTGGAGCCACCAAACCCTTTGCCACGGGCTGGCTAAGAGCGGGTGCCTTGCCCCACGTGCTGGCATCGTGCATGGGGCTGCTCTTCTTACCTGAGTCTGAGAGCACTTCAGGGCTGGTAGCATGGGGAGGATTCTCAAGAGGGGTTTTGGGAGGGGTCCCTGCTGCCCTGGGGACCCTCACGGGTGTCCCTCATGTTCCACAGGCTGCAGTGACCTACGGGCAGGCAGATCTCCAGAAGCACTGCCTGGCGTTCATTGAGAGCTACACCATGGTATGGCTGCAGGGGGAAACAGGGAGCAAACAGGGACTCGGTGTGGGGCAAGGGAATGGGGTCAGGAGAATGGTAGGACTGGAGCTGGGGAGGAAATGGTTTTTTTGGGAGAAGGTGCTTGAAGCCAGGCTGGGGATGGGCCGGGGGGGGGGTGCTGGGGTGCCAGACAGGGTTGGTGTGAGGGCTGTAGGTGGGTGTTGGTTCAAGCAGTGCACTCGCAGGCAGTGGTGCAGACACGGGGCTTCCACGAGCTCTCCGACACGGTGCTGGCACGGGTGCTGCGCAGCGACCACCTGGCTGCAGATGAGCTGGACCTGGTGCAGGCTGTGCGGGAGTGGGCGCATGTCAGTTCGGTGAGTGCGGCACGGCGGGGTGGTGCTCTCCCAAACCCCCTCAGTGTCTGCTCCATCTATCCATCCCTAATGTCCCACAGGCAGTCCTGGGGCGCCCGGTACCTGAGGTGGCCGCTCTGCCTGTGCAGGAGCTGCGCCTGCCCTTGCTGGCACCCAGCGAGCTGGCAACGCTGGAAAGCCAAAATCAACGTGACCTGCTCATCCCAGTGAGTTGTGGGGTGCCCCGTTGCTTCCTGGGGATGTCATGGGGCTGGTTTGGGGTACCCACACTGTTGTCCCCGTCTGGGCAGGTCGATAGCATCGCAGCAGCCTGGCGGTCCCATGCACTGCGGTGTGGAAGCGGGGTGCCCCCCCACCTCTGTCGGCCCCGGCACGGCACGCGACCCCGCAACCACCACCGCCACCTGGACCCACACAGCAAGTAGGGCCTCTGCCTCCCTCCTGCCCCCTGGAGCACTGCTGCTCCAGGGGGTAGTAGGTGCTGAGCACTCCTGGAGCAGCAATAAAGCGCTTTTCCCCCACTTGACAGATTAGGGGCAGGATAGGAGGATCATGCCCGTGCGGGGCTCCGGGGCATCCGAAGGATGGGATGGGGGCACAGGATGAGCCCCCATTCAACCTTATCCCATCCAGGTCCCATCCTTCTCCGAGGCGGTGCTGCCCTCCGCTGGCAGCAGGACTGTGCTACAGGAGCGCACCAGGGCCCCCGCGTGGCAGAGACGAAGAAGGGCCTCAGCGTGGCATGAGGCAGCTCCCAGACTCAAGCCCAGCACTGCCTGGGCTGCAAAATCCCCATCACCACCCCCATCCTCTTTGCACAGCCCATTGCACGCACAGCTGTGTATATCTCATCCACCCCCGGAGTTGTGCCCCCCAGGAGACAGGGTCAGACACAGCGGATAATTTATATATAATATATATATTTACTCTTTAAAAATAAACCTTCAGTCCCCACTACCGCCTGTACAAACTACAAAAATAAACCTTTGCTCTCTTTGATATAAATAACTTAGATGGCGTGGTTGGGGGGGGAAGAGGGGGGGCTGCCCACCGTGCCCACGCCTGGCACGGGGACGAGGACCCCAGGGCCACCCCAGCACAGCAGCAGTGTCAGGGGGCCAGGGCAGTGGGCACAGCAACACCGCTGGAGTTAAAGTGCTGGGTAACGGCGTGGATGGTGCCCGGGATGGGGAGGGGAGTTGGCAGGGGGAGATGGCCCCATTGCATGGACACGGGGCAAGAAAGTTGCTTTCCCAGCTGGATGAGCCCAGTGGCAGTGTGAGTGCCCTACACAGGGCAGAGCTGTGACTGTGGGACATCGCAGGGGCTTGGCACAGCGAGGAGCACCCCAAGGACCCCTTCTCCCTCCCCCAAATCCTGCCTGTGTGCTGGCAGCAATAGGCTCCCCAGCACATCCCCCAGCTCTGTCCCTCCTGTGCTCACTGGTAGGGAAACTGAGGCACAGAGAGGATGGGGGAACATGGGGCAGCCCCTCACTACCCCACCCCAAGCAGCCTGACAAGGCCCTTGGCTGAGAAATAAATCTTTTAAAATAAGCTTAAAAATATATATCTCTCTATAGATAGTTTCCCTTTGCAAATAAATAAAGGTGGGGGATGCCTACCCTGGGCCTTGCCCACGGCTCTGGGGTACCTGCCTTATCAGGCAGGGGGGCACCAGGGAAAGGCAGCCCAGCAGGTGGCCGGGGGGGTCCCAGGAGGAGGTGATGGGGAGCAGGCAGTGGCCCCATGAAGGGAGGTGGCAGAGCAGAGGGCTGGGCCCTGCGCCCCCGTGCCAGCAGCTCCAGAAACAGAGGGGGAGTTAGTGCTTCCGTTTCTGGGGGGCACAGGCACAGGGCGACCCCAAGGCACACAGGGAGACACGGCCCTGTTGGCACAGCACGGCCTGCACATAGCTTGCATAGGAACGCCAGCCTGCCCTGTCAAGCCTGGGTGTGGGGCCGATCCTCTTCGGCTGAGACCAGAGCATCGCCGCTAGGGCGATTAGCAGCACAACACGGGCGAGCCCGCTCTGCACCTTCTGTTCCATGCTGGGAGTTGCCAGCCTGGGTTCCATCCATGGAGCTGGTGACCTGTGGGGAGACAGCGGGAGTTCAGAGTTCAGAACCCAAACTGTATCCCTATGCCATGCAACAGCACCTGCACCCAGTAGCGCTTCTGCAGCATTACGCCACTGTTTGGGCAGCTGGCAAGAACAAGGAGGGGGATGTGGGCATCGTGCCCCCAGCTCACCTAGCGCCGGGTGCCTGCCCCGTGGCGTCCCAGGCTTTGCATCTCAAAGGAGTCAGGCATGGTGCTGGGCTCCTCCACACTGTCCGTTTCAGTGCCAAAGCTGGGGTAGGAGCCAGGCAGCGTGGGGTGCAGGGCCACCGTCACCGAAGCAGTGGCTGTGACTGTGGTGTAGCTGCCGGCGGGGCCCTGCAGGTGGGTGCTGTAGGCTGGCAGGGAGGCCCGAGGGGCTGGCCAGGCACTGGAGGAGCAGGGCTGACCCGGCCGAGGCAGTGCTGTGGGGTGTGGGTAGTCTCTAGCCAGTGTGGGGCACGGCTCCCCGAAAGGCAGTGAAGCTGCAGGCTGGGGGACGGGCTGCTCCTTCTTCCCCTGGACCTCCGGGCTGTCCTTGTAGGGCTTCAGCACCTAAGGAGGAGCACAGTGGGGGTGGCTGAGCATCCCTCTGGCACCACCCTGCCAACCCCCACGTCTCCGCCCCTCGGCTCCATCCAACCACCACACAGACACATGGAGACACTCACAGTGATGCGGGGAAAGCTGGGGTCCTTGCCAGCCTCCAGCAGAATGTGTGCCGGGGCAGGGGGCACAATGAAGGGTCCCTGGGGGCTGCCTGGCCCCACACCGTCGCCATAGCACTCTGTGTCTGAGGTATCAGTGAAGGCAGCGGGCCAGGCGGGGGCACGGCGGATGTACAGACCCCCAGGGCCTAGGCACGGGGGCACCGGCTCTGTAGGGGGCAGGCGGGGGCCATTATCCACAGGAGATGCCTAAGGAGAGAGGAGATAGTGTAAGGGGTGTCAGAGACACACAGAGATGGGGTCAAGCAGGGATGGGACAACTGGATATGGGGCAAAGAAGGAATAGAGTAAAAAGCAAGAGTGAGGCTTAGGTGAGGGGAAGGCTGAGGTAGGTGTGTGTGGGATGACATCAGGACTGGGCTAGGCAGGGATAGATGTAGGGCGAAGGTAGGGCACAGAGCAATGGGGTATTAGGACAGGTGGGCATGGGATGGGAGTCATACCTCGGAGGGTGGCCCGATGACTGATAGCAGGACAGGCAGCAGCACCAGCCCATTGAGCAGCCCCAGGAGCGTCAGGATGGTGAGCACCGCAAAGAAGTACCTGCAGGTAGGTGGGCGGAGGGCTGAGTGGGCTCACTGCCCCCCCCAGCCCCACTGTGACCCAGCACTGCCGGATGGGGTCCCCAGCCCTCACCTCATGATGAAGTCAAACTCAGAGCTGGCCAACATGAGGACGCCCAGGAGGGTAGAGACGGCACCGTCCATCACAGGGGCAAAGGTGTGCTCCAAGGCGGCAGCTGAGCGCACGTTTCTGCTCCCAACTGCCGTAAGGAAGCCCTGCGGAAGGTGGGAGGATTATGGAGGGCTCATCCTGATGGGGTGAGGGGGACACTGGGTCCAGGGGTGGAATCGGGGTGCCCCATGGACAGGCAGGGGTCTACCATTGCTCACCAGAGCCACATGGACAGTGAACTCCACACCGATGCCAACTGAAGCGATGAGGATGACCACAGGGATGGCACTCAGCTTGATGCCCATCAGCCCCATAATGCCGAACAGTTCCACCGCCATCATGGCCAGGATGGAGACCTGGGAGCAGAGGGGTCAGCGAGGGGGTGCTCCAGTGCACGCCATGCCCAACCCAAACCATAATAGGATGATCGTGTCCTCAACCTATTGTCCCTTTCTGCTCAATTTGGGGTGTCTCTTTTCCCATCTATTGGGTGATGCTCTCCACCCCCTTCACAAGGAATATCCTTACAAATCAGGGTAGATGTGGCACTGAGTGGCGTGTTGAGTAGGCATGGTGGGGATGGGTTGATGGTTGTACTAGATGATCTTAGTGGTCTTTTCCAACCTCAATGATTCTATGATTTTATTCCCGATTCCCGCTACAGGTGTCCTCCACCCACCGCCACCTCCACATGGGCATCCATCCCCAAGAAGCAGGTACTGGGGGCACACACTCACGATGATACCGGCCGTCCAGGGGTTGAGCAGCAGCAGGGCGCAGACGAGAAAGGTGCAGGCCAGCAGGATGCTGATGGCCAACAGGAACCAGTGGCGCAGGCCGATGTATTGCTCCCAGAAGAGGAAGGGGTAGCCGCTGGGGTAGCTCAGCACGCCATGGCGCTGGGCCGCCTCCTGGCAGATGGCCCGCACGCTCTCAATTGCCTCGACGAAGTCGGCTGTGCGACGCAGCCCGCTCAGGTAGAAGGGGAACTGGGCGAACTCCAGTGGCTGGGCTGCTGGGACTGAGGAGGAGAGCATAGGGTAGCACGGAGGAAATCAACTTCACGTGAATGCAGTCAAGATACGTGCCTGGGCACATTCGAGTAGCTGGGCATTGCCCAGGCAGGTGGTGGGGGTCACTGTCCCTGCAGGTGTTCAAGAACCATAGAGATGTGGCACTGAGGGACATGGTCAGTGGGCAATATTGGTGGTAGGTGGACAGTTGGACTGAACGACCTTTGAGGTCTTTTCCAACCTTAATGATTCCACTCTACGATTCTATGAGTATCACAAGGCTAGGGACAAGGAGTTGGGGGTACAGAGTGATGCCTGGGGTGTAGGGCAAAGAGAGTGCAGAGCAAGAAGATGCAGGATACATCTCCATCACGGGATGCCCATGCGATGAGGGATGCTGGGGGTTTCTCAAGGGGCAGGGAGCAGCGTCCCCATGCCAGGGGATGCTTGGGGCCACAGGGACCTCGCTAGGCGCTCACTCACTTCGCAGGTTCTCGCCCGTAGTGTCGTACTTGTCATGGATCCACTCAGGCGGCGGTGGGTAGAAGTTGGCCTGCGAGGCAGCGAAGCCCAGGGGGTCATTGCTGGCCCACACCGTCAGGCAGATGTAGAAGGTGTCTGGGGGGATGATGCCATTCTCATCCACCAACCGCCGTGTGGTCAACTATGGGGGTGGCAGGGATGGTGGTCAGAAGAGTGGTGGGCACAGCTCAGGATACAGCCCCTCTGCTCCATCCCCAGCCCCACTGCTCCATCCCCAGCTCTATCCCCAAGCACCTGGTTGAAGTTGAATGGCTCCTTCTTGTTGCCAGTCTGGATGAGGAGCTTGTAGGCCAGTGCCCCGTCCTCAGAGCCATTGCGATAGCTATCATGGGTGATGCGGCCGGCTTGCCAGTCCCTGTCAAAGGTGGCCTGGAGCCCTAGGGACAAAGCATGGGGTGAGCATCCCTGGGGGCACCGTGGGGACAGCATGGGATCCTCCCACCCACTGGGGCTCCAGAGGATGCAATGCATTTGGGAAGGTATTTCTTGGCATAAAGGTTGGGGTGGAAGCTCTGGGGATGCCCCTTACCTCGCAGCCAGTCCTGGAAGTAGTGGAGCCACATCTTGGGCAGGTCATGGTTGCCCTCACGCACCACGTACTTGACAGTGCTGAAGGCTTGGTGCAGGCTGAGAAGGGCAGCCTGGGCACCCGGGTAGTGGAAGCCACCCTTGGTGACGATGAACATATTGTAGAAGGAGAAATACTTGAACTGGGCTGAGATGAAGGCGTGAGCCTTGGTATCCCGTGGCACAATGTCTGTCAGGTAGAGTCCGTCATGCACCATGGTGGTGCCGTAGAGGCTCAGTCCCAACAGTGCCAAGAAGAGGACCACCACCACCACCTGTAGGGACAACAGGTCAACCAACGTCTCACTCTACCATGCTGCATCACAAAACCTCACACCCCCACCCAACTTCACCTTGGTCTGGGTCCGCAGCAGG